AATGTATTTCCATATTACCAGAGTAAGTTCTCAGCACAGTATTTTCAGGGAAAGAAATGATCAGAACAATTAGAAAGCTAGAGCAGAGTACCTCATCCCAGCAGAATTTATTCACCCACACAAGTAGGCACCAAGCACATCCACGTGACAGACAGACAGACAGACACACACACACACACACACACACACACAGACAGACACATCACAGTCTAAAGGGACAAAGAACTTCAGGAGTGGCTCATTTGTTTAAGAAAGCTACTACTCACTAGCTATGGGATGGGGTTAATTGCATTTGATGGCAACAGCCAAAGGAATGGAACTGGTTTATGCCCCACTAAGCTTTGCAAGAGTGAGTTGTGAAGATGACTATGGTCACCGATAATTGATTTAAAAACAAGGTAATTGATTTTGAATAGTTTTCCTTGGCTTCTTGTAAGTCGATAGATGTTACCAATATTGCCCAGTTTTTTAATCCAAGAAGCTGATTCTGAGATCAAAGTGACTCAACATTCCATTTTTGTGAATGCACTGAACTACAGGAAGAGTATTTTCAGTGAAGTTGAGGAAATACCAATTCAGTACGAAGTGAAATACACTGAAGTGTTCCAATGGATAATGCAGAAATATGTGAGGCGTGGAAAAGCTACTGGACAACTTGGCAAAGCGCAAAAATACTGACTGTTTAAAGTAGTTGACAGTTATTTTATACTCAGCATGTATTAGATGGGAGTGTTGCTTTTAACTAGTAAAGACGTACTTGTTACTCGATCTGTAGGTTCTGTCAGGAAGGAAAACTGAGTAGTGACTTTCCCAACTACACTGCCATTTGATGGCCATCCCTGCAGTTCCCAAACTCAACGAGCAGCAGCCGTCTGAATTTCAATGTAAGTACAGAGGCACACTCCACAAACCCAAGCCAGCATGGCAGTACCATCAAGAGGAGCTCATCTAACAGGCATGTGGAAGTGGTCCCTCTACAGACACTAGCATTTCAAAGCAAATACCAAGAGCAAGTCTGCTAGAATTCTACAAACATTTCCAAATGGCCACAATGACTGATGGAGTATTTGACAGCATATATGTATTCGTGAAGACGCTAAGACCATACCAGTGAATAGGTAAATATTTATGATCAACTTCAAACTCCAACTAAGTGAAGTAGCATCTCCTCAAAAATAACCAAATGCTTAACATTTGCAGACCTGTATTACAAACAAAACTGTACCTAAGTATTAATATATTTTGAATTTCATCAACAAAATATATGGATTTTAAAAAATTGTACAAATATATAAAAGCCTCAAATCTGCCTCTTAGCCCACAAAGCCTTAACTTTATCTTCCCCCTAAAAGTTTGCCAATCCCTAGTCCAGAAAAGTTAAATGGTTTCCAATTAAGAAAAACTACAGCCTAACAAATACTCTCTCAGCAATTGTTCTAAAAAAAGTATTTCATGACATGATCACATAGTCCTACAATCCCAGTACTCAGGGGACAGAGATCTTGGGTTCAAGGCCAGCTTACATCATACACTGAGAACATGGCTCAAAATAAAAAGAAAAAAAAAATTCACATCTCAGCAATCTTACCTGATAATAGTTTCAAGGCCCTTTTCTTTGGTTATGATCTATATATTCTTACAAAGAAGATAATTTATTAACTTGTGGATCTGATAAAAAGCTAGGCAGAGACAAACTGGTTATCTATTTTCAACATTAACAAAGCTCTATAATTATGCTCATTTATACTTAGGAAAATAAGCTTTTAACTCCTCTCACTCATCACCAAAGTCCTCAAAGGCTAAGCAAGTACATACTAGACAAAGTACTTGAGACTTCCTTTTTTAGCTTAAGTCAAACATTTTTCACCATCATGCACTATGTTAGCAACATCTGAAGTTCTATTATGTAAAATTCTGAAAATAATGCTAAGCTTAAAAACTGAGTTTGTATTTTTATGCTGTATTTTTTTCCTCAGGCTGCAGGCAGACACCTGTATTTCTCAGTAGTTACTTTATGGCTATAGTATCTTTCCTCCCCAAGTCTGACCAATGAGTTTTTACTCACATCTAATGAGATAACACAGGTCATGGCCCAAGATCAAAGTCGAGCGGCCTAGGAGATGTGCTGTACCAGTGGTACCCAGGCACTACAAAGTGTCATCACTGAGGTACAAACTATCTAACAAAATACTAAAGAATTCAATGATGTGTTTCAATCCCACAGTGATAATAAATAAAATATATATAATAAGCTCAAAGGTGTTTTTGGCAAATTACTGATACTCCATAACCAAACTGAAACTAAAACTTAACAAACCCAAGCTAAAACAACAGAAAGCAAATGCTGGGTACTGGAGGCTGACTGGCTGGTTAAATCCTAGCAAGTCTGCAGTTTTTCTATGTTCAGCTTATCATTAGCTTCCCCAAACCACACTGTTCTCTAGTTACTCCCCTTCAAAACTTAACAAATATTTCCTAATTCCAAACGTCTAATGTAAACATGACAACAGAGATACATTTGTAAGCCACTTGAGTCCTGTCCAAAATGTCACATAAAAACTAATAATGCATAATATGTTGAATGTTACATTATTTACTGAGCTATAAATGTTTCATAGGAGACCTTGTTTTTATTCTAAATCAGGTGCATGCCTTCAATAACCATCTTTACATCTTTATGCAGGTAACTTTTACATTATATCCGAGTTTTAGACTCACATCCTGTACTTTTTTAAAAATGTATTTCACTAAATATATCAAATACACCTCCAATTTACCATATCCCATACGGAACTTGAAGACTTTCTCATTTTTCCCCGATGTTCATGTCTAAACAAAATATGTCACTGTCTTTTAAGTTGTCCAAGTGAGATACTTGAGGCTAATTACATGTGATTTTTACACTTTCATTTCTGTGTGCTGAAATTTAAATAATAAACTTATTTGTTAAGTATCTTTCTTTTCCCTGCTGGTAAACACGCTAGTCCAAACCATCAGCACTTCTCTTCTGACCTATTTTTAAGCACTGCTAATGTATCTAGAGCATCTATTCATATCGATTTTAAATCTATGCACTTAAACATACTCTATGTGCATGCACACATGCGTGCCTGTGGGCTTGTGGTGGTGGAACTATCTTTTGTTGCTGTTGGTTTTGGATTTTTTTTTTAAACAAGCATTAGATCTGACCATTGTTAAATATCTTAATGTCCTTTTATCTGCCATTTCTCAAGTGTTTTCCAAACATGGACCCATGACGCAGACCCATGAAGAGCACAGCAGCTATTTGTCTACAGCTCTTTGTTCCATTGCACAAAAATGGAAATTTGTTGGACCTGCTGAGAGATTGCTGTTTTTCCTCGGTTATCAAGATAGTACCATCAAAGTCGCATGTTGCTCAACAGCCACTTGACGCTCGCTGCTCACACTGAAAGTCAAATCAGTAAGGGGAAAGTAGAGCCATGAGATGACACAAGAAAAAAGCAGATGCAGGCTGAGACTACCACTAAGATTACTGACCGGAAGCTGGTTTTAGCACTGGGCTTTACAATTAAGTGAAATGTTGCTTATTGCTTGATTTGGGTTGCTATTTGCTGCTGAAAAGTTCTTATTAATACAAATACAGTCAGAGACTAGAACTCACTCTACAATCAGACTGCTTTCTTTAGATAAAACCAGTTGATTACGTGTCATCATCAGATCATTCTCCTAGCCCTGTTTATATGTGTTGTGTGTCATTATATACACACTGTGCTGGAGTTTCATGTTAACTTGACACATGCTAAAGTCATCTGACAGGAGGGAACCTCAATTAAGAAAATGCCTCCATAAGATCTGGTTGTAGATAAGCCTGTAAGGCATTTTCTTAGTGATTGATGGGGGAGAGCCCTGCCCATTGTGGACTTGGGCCCTATAGGTAGACCATCCCTGGGCTAATGGACCTGGATAAAAAAAAAAAAAAAGCACGTTGAACAAACTACAAGGAGCCAGTAAGCCAGTAAGCAACACTCATGGCCTCTACATCATGGCTCCTAACTCCAGGTTGATACCCTGTTTTGAGTTTTTGTTCTGACTTCCTTCTAAGAAGAACAACGCTGTGGAAGTGTGAGCCAAATAAACTGTTTTGTTTATTCTCCACGGTCATGGAGTTTCTTTGCAGCAACAGAAATCTTAAGATATACACAGAACCCAGAGAAGGATATTTACCACTTTCCACACCCATCTGAAGCAAGGTCTCTCACTGAACCTGGAGCTTGACTGGCAGCCACACAACCCCAGGGATCTTCCAGCAGATGCCAGGCATAATGCTGTAGTAAAAGGTACATACATAACTACATTGGCTTTTTACATAGGTCCCTGGGATTTGAACTTACACCCTCACACTTGTATGGAAAGCACTCTTACCTGCTTAGTGATCTCCCTAGTTCACATTCTTCCATGCTGTTTCAAAAAGTCTCTGGTGCTAAAAGCACATACTAGTCACAGACTAAATGGTTCTGCTTGCTTTATCTTGCCTACAGTATCCCTCAGTAAACATGGCTCTATTAAGCACCGTTTGGTAAAATGCTTAAAGGACCTACCATAATGAGCAAATTACTGTTGCAAATGTATTTATGTTCCTCATCTGAAATGACTTTATTCACTTAAAATTAATTAACAGTGAACTTTCATAAATAGCATGACATCGTTTTCAAAACAGAAATAAAATCATTGTTTATTCCCTTAAGTTATTAGAAGACAGTTTTAACTAACTGCTCTATTAAGTAACTCAAAAACATTAAAAAAAAAATGAAAACAAAGCAAGCTTAGATCCTTCCTGTCATATGCTCCTTACAACTGTGCTCCAATCGAACAAAGATAGAAACAAAATGACAAAAGCAGCTTCCTTCTGCTCTGCCTCTTACAGTAAGTAGTAAACCAAAGAAGTTAATTTTTAAATCTCTGTGCAGAACTGAATAACACTAGTTCACTCGTGGTTAGAGGAAAGGGGAAAGAGCGAGTTTAAAAAAACTACCTTTATTTATTTCTTTTTCAGTTACATACTTTTAAACAGGGCTGTGTTTCAGTATTCAGACATTCAGGCAATGTTGATTTCATTAGTGTTGACAGAAAAGAAGCATAAAAATGCAAAACATTGTTGGCTTAACCTGAACATACCTGCATTACCTATTACTGACCAGTCTGTGTGCCAAAGACTTATTCTCCAGCACTAAAATGGAGCACTTAAAAATATTGCTAAAAAGCAAATGTCTACACACTGGCCTTTGCAGCAAATAAGGGTATTCATACTTTTAAAATATTTAAGTCCATAATTGGATTAATATACACACCTTCTTATGTATAAGGACTTCAGATCATATAAACACTGTACAGTCCAAAAAACCCTACTGAGAATAAAACTAAATAGGTTTATGATAAGAAATACAGATATTGCATGTATTTACAAATATCATAGACACACAAATTTGGTCAAATACTGTAAAGAAGTGGTTTCACATTATAAATGGCCAAAATATCCATCTACCTTGCTCAAAGCAAACAAAATAAAAAAAACTCAGTATGTAACTCCTGCAGTTTAGATATCATGACAGTATACAAACAGAATGGAAACTGCTGATCAAATTATACAGCGCATGTTTTCTCAGTTGAGTGTAGGTCTTCAAAATCAAGAAAAAAGATAAACAATGTCCTGATTTGGGATGTTCATGTGGGTGCCCAATTTATCAAAAGCAACACATTGAACTTTTGGCTAATAAGAAAAATAAATTACAAAATACAATTAAATACCTGTAAATTCAATAATGAAGTAAAAAATGTGGATTCATTTCCTTTAATACATATTTTAAATGTTACCTTGAGACAAAAAAAATAAATAAATAAGCATACCTGAAGGCTCACAATACAGAGAAGAGAGTGCATGGAAGGAACAACAATTTTCTAAGTAAAAGATGAATTGTGATATGATCAACAGCATCTTTCTAGCCAGTCTTTAACTCTCGACAACCTGGCTGACAGGATGAGACAGAAAGTATACCTGTGTCTTTATGGTGTAAAACAAAGCACACTTGCAAAGTGGAATGGACTTGGCTAATAACAGAACTGCTACACTGTTCATATGCAGGCACTGTGAAAGCTATGGAGGCAAAGCACCCAGCCCACCCTTTCCAGAACATTCTCCAATCGTCAATATTATGCTCAAGACAGGGAACTCCAGAGAAGTAGCAACGCTGAATACAAGAGACTAATGTGCACAGAGGGCAACAGTGACCCAGTGCTTATTGCTGGGAGTATGACTCTTTTCTTTAATTGAAGAACAACATCACAAGCAGCCAACACTGGATGGCACGTACTCAGGTTTCTGCTTCTGAGAGAAATGTGACCATTGAGCAGTAGGCTCTTAAGGGGCTCCAGCCTTACACACTGAAACAAGTTTCACATTTTTATCCTCTCTAACATACATTACTTCTCCAGTACTCACTTCTGCCATCTATCATATTACCATCTGGAAGCAGAGTGGCATTAAACAAATGTTCCTGGTGCTTCTGCTTCTTCTGCAGCTGCACTTCACACAGTGGCGCCACAGAAGCCGAGCTCGCATGTCCAACACTGCTGATTTATTTACCGCCACAGTTTGCCAATCCCATAGTGCTTTTTCCTCAGTACCTCTGGGCATGACTGTACCATGATTTCACAGAGAGAATGTCAATATGATTCATGAATAACAGTACCATCAGTCATACTGAAATCAATGCAGATGCCACAAAACAGGAACTGTTCAAGAAAGTTGTTTTTAATATTTGGGCAACTGTTTTCTCTGCTGCACTATCCAGTGGGAAGAAAATTCCTGTTTGATTATGCTTTTATAGAAGACATAAAGAAATCAAATTAGGTACAATTAATTGACATTTGGACACCTGTATTGTTTTCTAGAACAGAAGAGCTTCTGAACAATGTCCTATGGAACTGTGTTCATCAATACCACGTCATTGGTCCATTCCATTCAACGATGGGCAAAGCACTCACATTTTGACAAAATTTTAAAGCTTCCATAAAGTTAAATTAGGGGTGGGGGGGAATGAATGTAAGACAACCACAAAATGAAATATGAAAGTATGACATTTTTGTTTCAAGAGTGAGTCCTTGAAAATATATGTGGTCACTATAGAGATGATTTTAATCACAAGACAGCATATGAACATGTAAGTAACTCCCCAGGATCTGTCTGTGTCCAGTCATTTGTGACGTTGTATGGTTTTCCTTTTCCTTCGTTTGAAAAAACAGCAGCACCTGTAGATAAAGAAAACATTCCATTATTATGAAAGCATGAAAGTTATTCAAGGTTGAACTTATTACAGTAATTGAGAGGGTCCTAGAAAGTAACAGGCTCGTGCAGGACAGATGACAGTGAACACATCAGCAAAGCGTGAGTATTAGTGGCCCAGGGCAGTTATGACTACGTCCTATCAGCATGCCTTCTGCGCACAGCAGGACAGTCTGTGCAACATAAAACAGAGCCAGTAAGTCCAAAGACTTTTCTAAGAACTCAAAGCTACAGTGCTCGGACTCTCAGCTCATCTGCCTCATTTTACTCAGGATATTTAAGAGACTCAAGGTGTCTTGCTTGTATAAAGCTAATATGTATAGTTTCTTCCTTTGTTTCTGGTAGTTTTGATTCCTGAAGCCACTGTTACAGAAGCAACAATGACCTTATTACTAGGGATTTTGTTTTAGTACAGATCAGTCTAGATTCTAAAACAAAACAAAACAAAAACCCAGCATCAATCAACAAGTATATCCTACCATATTTATGAAACAGAAAGATAAAATAGACTAAGTACAGAACTAAGACTGGAACTTACTTTGTATTTTTTGGGACAGACTCTAACATGGTGCGGGCTGCTTCAGGCTCACTATACAGCTGGGAATGACTATGAACTCTTGACCCCTTTTGTCTTTACTTACTTTTTTTTTTTTTTAATCATTTTAAGAATCAAAGCTGGCTGGATAGATGGCTCAGTGGTTAAGGGCACTGACTGCTCTTCCAGTGGTCCTGAGTTGAATTCCCAGCAACCACATGATGGCTCACAGCCATCTGAAATGGGATCTGATGCCCTCTTCTGGTGGGTCTGAAGACAGCTACAGTGTACTCACATACATAAAATAAAAAAATAATTCTTTGAAAGAATCAAAGCCTACTGTACGTTATTTAATATTTATCAAACTAATTTTATACCTAACATTTAAAATTCCAGAGCCAACGCATGTCCATGTTATAATTAAAAAACTATGTATTCAGAACACATTTTAAATATATAGTTTTTAAAAACAACTCAAACATCATATATTTAGTCCTTGTCTTTTTTCCTAGGTTAAAAACATCTAGATACAAACTTTATCTTCCTGAGGTAACTGGAATAAACTGCAATGAGTGTGAGAGTAAGTGTCTATGTGAATGATGAAATACTCATGGGCCTAGACTAGAGCTACTGCCATCGACAAGGACTGAGTATAATACATTGTTTCAGGAGTTAAAAAACAGCCACATTCACTTTCAATGACATGAACCTAATGCTTTCTCAAATTTCAGATGTATGAAATTTCAAAAAGAGAAACGCAAAAGAAACATTGCTTGGTGGGCAGAGCCCTGATTCAATCTTCAAGGCCACTTCAACTGGGCAGGAGGTAGAGACAGAAGAATGAGGAGGCTCAAGGTCAACCTCCAATACAGGCTTTGAGTCCAGCCTGGAATAGATGAGACCCTGTCTCAACTGGAGGGAGATAAAATATTATTCAAGTAAATCTTTCAATTACTAGACAACACCACAGGGTAAAAGTTAAAATGAAAAAAAGTTATTTAAAAGAAATAGGCTAAATATTCCTAATATTAAATTTAAGAATCAAGTGATATTCCTGTAACTTTCAGTGTTGTTTAACATGAAGCTCCTCCTCATGGTATTATATGTTCCTATCTATCATCACTTGTCATTCAAGCTCCAAATCATAGTCTTTCAAAACCTTTGTACTAAAGAGTTATTTAAACTATGTAAGCCTTTCCGATGGGAAATGCCATCAATACAGGTATTGATAAACAACAGCCTGTTAGTTGGCAGCTTGTCTATGCTGTTGCTGTATTCACACTGACTTCTTTGGTTTTGCTTTTAGTTATGAAAGAGAAGCTCTTCTCATTTGTTAAATAACCTTTCTTGAATAAGGAGACTATGCCCAGGCATTTATTTGAAACTAAGTACAGATTTAAGATGAATTCTAATGGCACAGGTCCTTTAAGTTCAAAAACAATGTTAAGAGTTAGCCACATAGCTTTTAGACTAGATCTCACTGAACAGGATGGCATACTATTAAAGCAACTACCACCAGAGGGCAGCATTGATGCATGTTCTATAAATGCATCTGCCACAAAGCAGTAGCATTAAAGGAGTAAGCTGAAATGCTAACCCCTGCTAGTTTTAAAGATCAAAGTCACTTCAAAACCAGCTGAGTCCTGGTCTTGATAACTGAGAAATTGTCATCTTATTGTTTTGTCTCTAAAAGTACTCAATCGAAAACAGTGCAGCTTTCATGACACTGTCTTTTTTGTGCAGTTACTATTATTTTAACATGATTTTGTTTAACTTAGTGCCTCCCTCACACTTAGAAGGAAGCTGTGCAATGGCTAGCATACAGAACTAGCCCATCAAATGAGCAAAAAGTTGCCACTTGTTTAGTATACACTGAAGGATTTACTTCATTCACACAACTAAATCCCACAGTAGTTCTAACTCTGGAGTTCTTACCCATGGGGCACAAACTCTACCGGGGACTACAAAATGACTATTTCAGTACTACTGTGAGGTCTTTCTGAGAAACCTGAGCTGGAACACATTCTTTAAATGCCAAGTCTAGATCAAAGTTAAGACAGTTGGCTTAGTTTTTCTATCCAACAATACTTATGTTAGAAAAGATGGTCATTTAACAAATGGGAAGAATTTAGCTTTCAGAACAAAAAGTGAAACCAGAGAAATTAGTGAGGCAGTGTGAATACAGCACCAGTGTGAACAAACAGAAGCGAACAGCCTGTGCCATGAGAAGTCATCTTAAGATCACAGTGAACCTCAGCTTCACTTCGTCACACACCCTAATTCACGTCACCCACTGCCCTCGTCATTGAGAATGGGCTTTGTTTATCAGGACCTATATTAAATATTTACTTCTCTCAATCAAATTTAAGTATGTTTTCCCAAATGGATCTGAGGTTCTTCCCTACCCCTTCTACAATGATTCTCCAGCATCATCTTTGCTGAATCTCCTGCATCCAGCCTGGGCCACCCACTCAGGACTTTTAAGCCAGTCTCTCCAGCCCTGGTTTAATGAGCATGTAGAAAAACGCCTTTATGACAATGAATACTTTTTTTGACAAATAAGTAAGTATTTTACCTTAAAATTAATACCTCATGTGAAATTCCTTATCTTTGGATTTCTCAGCTAGGCAAGAGTTCAGAACAGAAAATGACTATGTATGTAATGCCTTCAAGTAGATACCTATAATCCTATGTCTTCCTCTCTACCCACTTGCAATTAATCTGTCTAAAGTAATCCAATCTTCTCACCATTTTCAAGCTGGCTTTTAGTTCAGAAATTTTCACCTTGCCTATATCATGGCTTAGAATTTTTCAACAAATTTTCTGTTTAAGCTGACCACACCTCTAATCCCACCAAGAAGATGAAAAGCTCAAGCCAGCCTGAACTAGAGACACGGCTCCCATCTCTACCCCAGCAAAGGCACAGTTAAGTCTCTACTTGACAATCTGTCCTAAGTACAGCCATGCCCTCTTGCTCATTTGTTTCACCATTAGGTCTTCATTCATTAAGTACTGAGGACACACAGCTTTTTAAACTTCAGTCCCTGAGTTATTTTCATGATCCTCTTAATCCCCCTCTGAGGGAAAAGCAGGAGAGGGAAGCAACAAGGACAGAGGGGAAGCACTGACTTCCCACTGTGTGTGCTTACCACAGTCGTTTTTATCCCTTATAAGCACTTTGTTCTCTTCTACAACGGTTATGATGGCTGAGGTATAGCTCAGCTAATAAGGCACCTGCTTTACATGTACAAAACACTAGATTCAACATCCTCAAACAAACACACATGTACATGCACAAGCATACAGAAAACCTTACATATCTAGAACCAAAAACATTATCTAATGGTGTATGTAAGTGTTGAAATATCTTCATAATCATTCAATCATCAAAGATACGCTATTTTCTCCAGTAAATATTAGAAGAGGATGCAATCTAGGAAAATTAGTTCTGCTCACATTCCTTAGTCTCAGAAGATAGGAACAATGTATTATGGAAATGCTAAGAATTAATCTGATTAAAAGAAAGGCAAAAAAAAAAAAGAAAAGAAAGAGTTTTAATGAAAAGCTTTAATGAAGAGAAGTTCTGCGGATTCTTGTAACCAACTAGAATAACGTTTTCCTGAACTCACAAGTCACTGTCTTTTAACAACCACTTCACCTAGATATAAGTCACATGTCATAAAATTTGTCCTCATGATCTGTACAAAGCACAGATGAATACTCACAGAATTGTACAGATATCACCACACAACCTAACTTCAAAGCCTCCTCATTCCTTATAGGAACCTGCTGTCTCTCAACAGTCTCTCCCATTTTCTTCTGCCACAGACAAGCACTACTGCAGTGTCTGTCCTTTCCTGCTGCCTGTTCACAGTCTATATAAGTGAAGCTATACAACAGATGGTATGACTCTGTTTCTTTCATCTAGCAGGTATTTTCAACTTCACTTCTTTGTATGATATAATTTATTTCATGAGTATGGTAAATTGCTTTAGAGAATTATTTGGTAATAACTTACTATGGTTTCCTATTTCAACCAATGGGGATCTAAAAATATAAAGGCTTTGTTTTCAATACATTGAGAAAGTCATCATGATGTGAGAGATATATAAAGAAACTGATAGGCAGGTTAACAAGACAGTAGTAAAATATGCAGTGTCTGGTTTAAATGGAGGTTGGGAAAAAACAGGAGGTGACACAATCCTCTAGAAGTTCCATTACGTTCTTCATTCTTGTCCTCCAAGGCTCTGGAGAGAAAAGGCAGGCTATCTGAGCACACACACACAAACATCACAACTAAGTGAACTATGTCTTTTTTGAAAGCCACCTCTATGAAGCATTCTCTGATTATTCAATCAAGAAGTGAGCCTTTTCTTTACAAACTGAAAGCTTTACCATATACTATTATCTACTAAGGCAACTCCAGTCTCTCCTGCTATTTTGTGAAATCAGATGTTTCTGAAATTTCAGCAGGGTTAACTACTGAATGAACATAAAGAATGGATAGGCTGGATCAAAAGTCAGTCTCGAAAAGGATGTGAACACAGGCACCAGGTTTAACAATGCTGTGGACAGTCCTGGAAGAAGCCTTCTCCTGTGAAGAACACAACAGTAGCCAGTGATGAAGAACAAAGAGGTGTGGTAATAGCCAGAGTCCATTTAGGTGACAGACAAAACCTTACCACAGCCACTCTTTTTCTCCCCTCCTATGAGATGGGCATTATTAACAGCATTTTAGGAAAAGAAACGAGCCTAACAAAGTACCACACAGAGGAGAACTACATAACTAACACCCAACTGCAACAGAATGTACACCAGACCTGCCACACTGATACTCTATATAGTAATTGTATTTAACATTCACAAGCATATGCCATTATATTTAAATTTTTTATTTAATAACAAGTAAACACAGACTAAATGTGTCTTGAATTATACTAAATTTGGTCACCACCAATCAATTCTAAAATGAAACTGAAATGGGTCACTGCTTGGTAACAAGAAGTATCCACAGCAGTTTCTCAGTTTTCGGCTTGTGGGTGTTTTAAGGATATAATAAGTAAGATGAGTGTTGGGCTTTAAAACTGACTCTTCTAAGGCTTTAGTTCACTGCAGAACTGACTCAAAATCTGTCTGGAAATTGAGAGAGGCAACTAAACACAGAATTCCACCTGAAGGTAAATACCAGAAAATAAAATTTAGTATCATTTACCCCTGGAAGAATATTATTAAGAAGTATTAGAGGAGTTTTAATGTAATGGTTAGTAAATGAAATAAGATTTTAGTGATACTATAGGGGAAAGAGTATGTATTTAAAAGTTGAAAATGGGAAAATATAAAGTTTAACTCAAAAACTCAGCTTTCTATTTAAGAAGTAACAAATAAAAACTCCATGCTACAAAACAGATGCACAAGCATAAGCAGGCTAGCATACCATCTATGCAGTTAGGGAGTGGCCCAAAACTATGTCACTTAGAGCAAAAAAAAAAACAAAACCCAAAAAGAAAAAAAAAAAAAAAGCTGCAGCAGGCAAAACAGCTCCTCAACAGTTATTTCTTGCTTTTCAAGGGCTAATGTTATTGTTATCAATTAATTTTGTTTTACCAATTGTAATTTCTAGGTAAAGATTTTTGTTCATTTGTATTAAATGGTGTTAAATCTTGAAATTATAGTCAATGGAGCTATTTCTGCCTGCCTACACTTAAGAACTCACCACATATTCAATACTTTCTGGCAGCTATACACAGAAAAACAAAAAGAAAAGAAAAAGGGAGAGAGGAAAAAAGAGAGAAATCATCAAAAATAGCCCATAATTAAATGATCATTGTTTTTCCAAGCACCACTACTATAGTTTACCTCTTCAAAATTAATCTTCAAGTAACATGAAACATGCAGCATCCTATGATACCAAGTACACTTACAGACAAGTAACAATATGCAGTAATATCCATGTGAGGTTCCTAAATATCAAAAGCTAAAACTATTCTGTTAATTTTAAATGAAAATTTGAGCACAGTTTCTAAATAACTAGTTTTGTATTAAGAATGTATTTATTAAAGTAGAACTACTTTAAACAGTCTTTAAGATAATTATATCATTTCTTTTGTATGCTCTATTCGCTACAGGAGGAAAAATGTGGAATAATTGTATGTAACTATAAAGTTTAAATGTGGAAAGTTATGAACCCAAAAAATTACCAAAATAAGCAAAACAAAAGCGTACTTGGTTTCATCCATCACTTCTACTTCTGTAGGGGCTGTAATGGGTGCGTTTGACCGTCCTGCCGTGGGGTCATCCGTGTTTAGCTCTCCATTTGTAGAACTTACAACCTAGTTAATAAAGGGAAAGAATATTTACATATCAAACACATATATACATACATAATAATATATACTTAGTAAAGAATAAGGTATTTAAATTACAAAGTTAATATGAGGAACAAAAAACAATTAGTAGATCAAAGCCATTTGACATGTGCTTGTCTTCCTTTCCATCTCGTAACTTCTATTTTCTAGAAAGTAACTCCTACCCCAAGGTTTCCATCAGTTACTCTTTACACATAACTTTCTTCCCTCCTCCAATCTGTAATCTCTGAAATTTCCACCTCACACTGTCAACTTTAAGGAACAACAGTGCCATCCATTCACCTAGCAGCTTAGACCCCCACATCCAATCTGTGAGGAAGTCCTATGAGATATTCCCCCAAATACATACCCTATCTAATCAGTCTCACTGCCTCTATTACTACGACGACTCCAGTACAAAACAACGTGACTTCAATTAAGAGCAAACACCTATCCACTAGTATTAGCTTTGACTTGCATTGCAAGTAAAATGCATTATCCACACAGCAACCAGGGTACTCCTTTCGAGGTATAAACCTGGCTGTGACAATTCCCTTCTGAAAAGTCCAAGTCCAGGCTTCTCACTTAACTTAAAAAGCTATATTCCTCATGCCATGCTAACGTCCCATATAACTTACTGTCTGCCTGGCTCACAGATCTCTTATTACCATCCCCTTAGCTCCTAGCTTCTAACAGACCAAGTTTCAGGCCTTGGCACTATCCACTGCCACTGGCTAGGACTGCTCTTTTACTTATGGGTTGTCTTCTTAGATTCCTAGAGAGCATCTCTATGACAGGATTTTTCTATCGTTCATGCAGAAAAATTTCCATAAAAATTTTCATGCAGAAAATGTCTTTATGTTGTACTTTAGTTTTTATTTTCTGTATAAGTTATTTGTGTTGACTCTTAATTATTTGTTTGTTTTTATTTTTGAGACATAGTAGCTCTGTGTGGCCCTGGCTTTCCTGGAACTTGACCTCACAGAGATCTGCTTGCCTCTTTTCTAAGCACTAGAACTAAAGGCATACAATGACAACTTACTTCTTGGTGCATTTTTGTTTTTGTCTTGATGTTTTTATTTCCTGATTTATCTACTGTGTTCTTAATATTCTGCCTCCATTAAAACGGTTTCATAAGATCAGGAATCTCATCTCTTGCTGTCTGACATACCCGAAATACACAGAAATACTGCCATTAAGGAATGAAAATTTAAAGACGTTTAAGATAAAAAAAATAAAATATTAAATTAAAGGTTCTACAAATTCATGTAATCACCCTATTTCTTCTTTCCTCATAATTCTAAACTTGAAAAAATACTCACACGCCAGCCCTTCCTTAGTCCTAGGCCTCTTCCATTTACTTACTCCTTATCATAACTCCGCCTGTCTGTGTTTACTTAAAACTGAGAATTTCCTTGGTAAATCTGAAAAAAAAACTATATTCTGTAAGCTTAACTCATTCCCCATTTTCCTACATAACTTCTGTATCTGCTGGCATCAGCCGATCACTCTATATTAAGATGGATACACACCAAAAGCTAGTTACAGCACTGTGAACTGTGTGAGCACGAGACAGGACCAATAACTATATCAGAAATGCTAAAACATACACACAAACATATAAAACCTTTCTCTAGGACACTCATTAAAAAACCACACTGAGAGATGAGATAGTTAAAATAATATGTTTTAGAGTGTATAGAACCTGAGCCAGTAAACAATAAATTACTACATACTTTAAAAAGTATAACTAGATTCATTCTAGAGAGAACCCACAGTAAAATGGCACTCTGTGGATCACAGGTATGATTTGCCATAACTAGTTTTCATTGTCTTTCAACAAAGATAAGGAAGATTATCAACTTTCACTAATAGAGACATTAATTGTATCACATGTTGTCTGAGCATTCAAATCTTTGGAGAGGTTATCAAAATTTGTTATTAAAGCAGGAGATTACAATTAATGAATCATACTGATTCATACCAATGAGACTCACCAGGAAACTTCCTAAACTAATGAGTGTGGAGTTATTTACATAATAGAAACCATCACTACATCCTTCTACAAATGCTCTTTTGCAGATGTCAGCACCCGAGAAAACCATCCAGAGAAGATGGAATTATAATAGTCACTCAATTTTGTTCCTCATTATTAACTGTGCATTATTAAAGATCTGATACAGAAAACTTGAGACTTGTTTTAGAAGTGTTTTTAGTAAAGGCCTATACACAATTAGCATTAACAGAAAACTCTCTGTCAAGTGAAAATTACTCTTCTCACATTGAACGATGTATATTTACTACCACTGCAAGATACTTCTGTTTACATCATTTTTATCTATCAGTATTATCTATATTTGAATCTGATACTACACATGCAAAGAAATCAAACATTGTATTATAGCAACTTATGTATTTTTTTCTTATTTTCCTTAACAGTACCTGGCTGCACTTGTCTTTCTGCATGACTTGTGATTTTATAACTGTCTTGGCTCAGGTTCTCAAACATCATTCATAAGGCTCAAATAAAGAACCTTCCAACTATAAAAGTGGTCATTCAGCACACTAGCATCTTTACTATTTTTTTTCTTCCTTTTGCTTACAGTTGCCAACTATCATAGAATCTATTTTAATGGTGGTGAGCTGAGTGAAGTTGTACCGCAATGCAAGCGCAGCTATAATGGGAGTGTATCACTGTTCTCTGTTAGGACGGGTACTTTGCAAACCTAGTTTCAGAGAGATGATCGACCAAGGAAAAGCACAGCAGACTGGGGTGGCAACAGTGCTTTGCCTTTCCTAGCCCCCAAGATCCAACCAAACGACTTCCTCTCACCTCTACTACTCATCCATGCAGCTCAGCTACAGAACGCTTTTTAAAGATACTTGTAACCCAGACTATGAACCTTGAAGGTGGGGACAATCCTCCCGTTGCCTCCTAAGTGTTGCAATTACAGGCATGAGCTAACACACCCAGCTTCAGGTATAGACTTTTTTATAGACTCTGACTCATACTCCTCTCCTTAATCAAATCTATCAAAGTAACCTTTAAGCTTCCAAGGTAAAATGACAGACTAAAACTGCTTCTTTGTGACACCATGAAGGATCAAGAAAACAAAATTTAGATTTCATTCCAAAGAGATACAGTGGAAAAACACTGAAACCACAAAGCGATAGGACCAATGGCAAATACAGACATAGGGGGAAAAAGGGGGGGGGGGTCCTGCATAGTTCAGGGGAGGAAGGGCATAGCTCCTGCACTGCTCCACACAAATCCCCCGAGGAAGAAGGGTCACAGAAGTGCCACCTAAAGTTAAGAAAGGAGTCCTTGGTGAAAAGAAACTAGCAATCCTACCCAAAGAACCAGCATCCAGTTTAGACAAACCTTGAAAATAGTTCATAGTTCTAGTTAGATAGGGACCTCTCTAGTGTAACAAGTCATCAGTGTAGAGGAGGTCTTTTCTGCCACTCCTCATGCCTTGGAGTGCTGTAGCAAGGTAGCAACTTAAGAGAAAACTTTGTGTTTAAGACTAAATTACCCTAGGAGCCTGATAACAAGGAGCAATCATAGGTCCAGGAGCCTGGAACCAACCCCACATAGCATTAAGTAAGAGATAATTACAGCAGGCAGTCATAAAGAGAGAGAGTCAGCAGCCTCAGCTTGGGCAGCTCAGGGTACAGTAGTTAGTAACCCACCTTCAATCGCTAAGAGCTTGACCTATCACTTAGGAATTATTGTGGATTTCAAGAAGCCCAAACCAGTCGTCAGCTGACAAGTCAGCTTCTGAAACCATGTATCTGCCACAAGGTTCACTGTCATAGAATTGAGAACTCTGAAGTGCCACTGGACTGCTTGACATCTGCACCCTCCAACAGAATTCAATGCTGGGCAGGTTTTAAAGGTGTAGGAATTGCCAAGTATGATGGTGCATGCTTTTAATTCCAGCACATGAGGGCAGTGGCAGGCTGACTCTCTGTTGGTTCAAAGACAGCCTAGTTAATATAGCAGGTCCAGGACAGCTAAGGGTACAAAGAGAGACCATGTCTCAAAAAGAAAACACACCACAGAAGATTGGTCTGGCTGTGTAAGTCTGAATGCTATGCTTGCTCCTCCAAGTCGCCAATACACTAAGGAGACATCTCTGGCTAGAACAGTTAGAAATCCCAGAGTGTATAAACATAATCTTTGTGGTCCTCTTTCTCTTCTATGTTGCTGACTTTTGTTTCTATATCGTAAATTAATCTTCTTATTGTAAACTTGGCCATCTAGGAATGACTGGTTGTTTTTAGAAGTAGACTTTTGGATTCTTTGTCTGACATTTCAACTGTTTCACTAGCTTATGGTCTCCTGGATATACTGTGCCTTTTCATGTCTTGTGAGTTTTGTGTCTGCTGGTTATCTTGTATGTGTATTTCAGCTTGTTTTTAATAGCAGCCTACTTTGAACTCAACCCCAAGACCACTTGGGAAGAACAAAACACGCTGATGTAACAGAGGAAATTAAAAAATATACATGATATAGAAATATACTTAGGTCAGTTAGAGCCCACTAATGTACTAACAGTGACTATATAGAACAGAAAGAAAAAGGCCAAAATAATGTAATGTTCTGTAATTTTAAGGGAAGGAAATGGGTAAAGAAAGTGGCCAACTGTAACTCAAGTCCCCATGTACTCTAGTCACCACACCATGCAAAAAGACACTGCAAAAACTGAAAGAGCAATGCATCAGCCAACTTTCCCTGATGAACATGGATGCAAAAATTCTTGAGCTGAATTGAAAAAACACTAAAAAGAATCATACTTCATGATTAAACTTACTTCATTACAGAGAATGCACAAGAGATTTACTATATACATAATAATAAATGTAATGCTATATGTATATATTCTTGGGAAAAATCACATGCGTATCTCACTAGATACAGAAAATGCCTTTAGCAAAGTTCTGCATATCTTTATAACAAAAGCTCTGAAAAAAAGGGAATA